TGAGTCATTACCCAGTTTGTGGTTTACCTTTGAAGGGACACCTGGCACGCAACCCACCATTCGGAAACAGCTTGAGGAAGATTCTGGCCAGGTTGGCTTATACCCCGTACGGGCCCCACTTAACCACAATCCCCAAAGTACGGTAGCAAAAGGTCCCTCGGGGGGGGGCTTTAAACACGAATTGTCCTTCCTAAGGCTTCCTTCTTTTTTGACATTACTGCTCTGCGGGACACATATTCTATTCAGAGACACACTCTGGCGTTTGGCACAATGGATTTTAAGGTTGCTTTTTGTGCACCTGTTTTTTTGCTTGGGTGGACCTTCAACCAGTCATTTCCGGAAATGAGAGGATGGGCATCATGTTGTGCTGTTGGAGAACAAGCGGAATTCCACCCAAACTTCACCAGGAAGAATTGCCCCCACTTTGACCATTCTGCCAACTTTGCTTGTGCATGTCCAAATGTTTCCACAATTCGCCAACAAACGCTTCCAAATGTTTTCGACAGGGCCTTTTGCCCGAACATACGCATCCCATTCCGGATGCCCGTGATTTTGAACATTGCTACTAGGCTGCCCATGTTGACATAGTTTCCTTTGGGAGGAGTCACTGTTGTACATGGAGCCGGCATTTGGGACACCAGTGCGAGAGGATGGTTCCCTCCCATCAAAACCGCGTTCTTTGGGCTTGCGCGTCCCTAGTTGCATTCAACACCCAGTTAGATGAAGGTTAGTCAGGGACAGTCCCAACTACATATATATATATATTATATATATATGTTGTACGTAGGAACGGCCGCCCTTTCTATCATTTTGACACCATAATTTGAGTATGACGCTTGTGAAGTTAACAACGTTGGGGCTTGAGAACTGTTTTGAGCATAAGTATTAAACCCCAAGCACACTCTTTTGCGGTTAGGCCCGTTTCGTCGGTGCGACTCCTCGTCGGACCCAGCTTGAGGAGTTGTCCATGAGGACCTGGTCCTCGCTGTGGCGGCCTCCCGCATCGACGCTGGAGCCTCGATGCAAAACAAGCTGCCCGGCTTTCCCTTGCTTGCTACAGGCAGCAGTCTTCTGTGGATGGACAAAATTTACTTCCCACCAGTTACTTAGTTGGCATGGATGCAACCCTATGAAAACTGGGAAAACCACATAGCAACTGGTGCTAGATTTGTCCGCATGCGCCCTTTTGGGTGTTTGAGACGCCTCCCTTGGGGACAAGGTTGATTGAGTCACCTTTAGGTGATGCTTAAAGGGACACATAAGGAGTCCTTGTCCCAACTGAGCAGAGTTTTTCGGAGGCACCGCGTAGGCAATTCTGGTGGGGAAAGCGATTCGCGTAGGCAGTCCGCTTAGGTTGTTTAAGAATATCCTGCGTAGTCGCGTAGGCGTGTCTTGCCTTGCACAAGCTGTTATGACTTGAAAGTAGCGCCCCTTGCACAAGCGTGTCGTTATGACTTGAAAGTAGCGCCCGAGAAAAGTGTGTGTGTGTGTGTAGGCACTCCGCATAGGCGCTGGTTGTCGCGTAGGCTCGCGTAGGCACCCTGCCACGGTTTTGCGCACTGGCGCCGCGTACGGCTGCCATTGTATCAGGCCGATACACCCAATAAAGATCCCTGCTCAATTGTTCCAGGGAAAGCAATCTTGTGACTATGGTTGCACCCTGCTCACCGACGTGTGTTGAGCACCCAAGCTGAACGATCTTCCACGACAGAAGAAGCTCCATTAACCGCTCAATGGTCCAAAACCGACCTTGATCTTGTTGAGTATTCATCTTTCACTTTTCTTCCTTTCATGCCCTTACGGTAGGTGAGGTTGGTTTACTTGCCTAGGAATGCATAGAACTAGACCTCCCATGATCTGTGCGATTGTCAATGTCACCCTGGGACTCGGGAATGGGGGTGTGACTTGGACAATGGTACAAGGCCAGCGATTCACTGGGGGAGTGTCGCTGCAGCTTCTTCCCCATTTTGGACATAGTTTCCATTCGCCAACATGGGCCGCCAACCATCTACAGAGCTCATTCCTGATTTCGATGTGCCCACATGCCAGCCTGTCAAGAAACGGGCCAGGCAGACCCCTCAACCAAGTCTTTTTACCCCCTCCCTGTTGGGGAACCCCTCACAACAACACATACACACGGAAACACAAAGAGTTTGACCATGGCCCGAATGAGGTCTCGGTCTCCGACTTTGTGGCCTGCTTGAAGGGAGACAACCCCCAGCTGCCCGAAGCCTCAAACATCGGTTGAGCCTGCTAGATTTTTGGGTAATGGCCCCTAGGCGGCACAAAAAGGATATGTGTCAAATTATGCGGACCCCACCATGATAGTTTCCTTTTTGGTTCCCCTGTTGGTTTCCCTTGTCAGCCAAATTGAAAAGTCTCGCCTCGAAAAGCATACACAAACACGTCCGGAAGGCGCCCTTGTTTTTGGCACCCCACTGACTTTGTTTGCTTGGGACGCTGTCAAGGCCGGAAACGGGGATGGTGAATGTGTGGAAGGCCAAACAGCATTGGGCAGTCGTTGGTGTGAAAAGCTTGGCCGCGAAACATAGTCAACCATGTCCGGTCCAGGTTTTGTTCTCGTTCAATTGTTTACCTGGTTATTTGTCTTCTTTCTATCTTAGATTCTCCAAGACAACTGTTTTGGTTTGTTGAGTACAATATTGGCAAAGCATCATTTGCTCAATATTTGGTGGAGTCAACGGACTCTCTATGTATGACGGGTACATAACTCTACTACGCTGGGAGCAAGAACAATCCTGTCATTTATCAAAGCTCCTGGCTGTTTTACTTGCAGTACCTCGACAATCGTGAGCAAAGCCCAAGGGTTTCCGTCGGGTTTGCTCGGTAGGCTGAAGGCAGACGCAGTGTGCATGTTTGCCACCAGCTAACCAGGCAGAGAAGGTGGAGGTATAAACCTGGAGTGTGCGCGCGCGTAGCATGTGCAGCGATTCGCTGCAAGATTTCATTTTGGTGGCTCGGCGCCGCCAAGTTTGTGGATAGAAGGGAACCAGAATGAGCGAGAAACAACTCTCTGACAATGAGGTGTCCCTGGAACGGCGTATGTGTTGAAATGAAAGGGAGGAGGATATATGTATATATGTATTTACAAATACATGTATCTCTATATATATATATGCATGGATGTTTGGCTCACACAAAACTCTCCCTCCGAAGGGTTGGCTTGCCCATCAACATGTAGCCTTTATCAATATGATGACAGACCAAATGCAAGTGCTTGTTGATGCACAGCTCAAAGTCCAAGGAGGCGGAAGATCGAACGCGAGTTGTGTGACGCTGGCTGCGGTTTGTTGGAGCTGGCCTAAGCAAGCCTTTTGACCTTGCGTTTATGATCCATCTCGCGCCAGAACCCCGATGGGTCGGCCTTTGATGTCCGTGTTTTGTGTTGGCTGGTGCAGGCCAGGCTGTTGCATCTTTTACACGTAAAAAGGCAAGTGCCCCGAATCCACCTCATTATCTGCGATAGTTCGGTTGCTCTTGTTGCCACTCCTTCCTTCCACAATCAGTCGCTTGTTGTCTACTCAAATGATCTGGGCCCATCCTGAATCGGAGTGCACCGCCATGTGTAAAGAGGGAACCCTGAGTAAAGTAACCGCCGGCAAGGATACCAAGCAGACCACAAGGATCATTTTTTCATGACGACACCCACATCTTTTCGCAGGGGTTTGATGGGGAAGTTCGGTATAGCATACCACTGTCTACGCTTTGGGGGTACCTGGGGCTACGGTGGGGCACGCACTTTAGCCCGCAGCACGAGGAGGCAAACCTGAGAGCATGAGGAGAGCCACGACAGCATGTATTGCCCTTCATATCACCAGTATGTGTTATCAGCAGTACGTAGCACAGGGCCGGCACCACTCCCTTCATCCCCCCTCCCTCAGGATGGAGCGTGGCTGGTGGGGCCAAACCTTTCATTGCGCTCACAGGCCCTCGCTCTATGCGGACGGCGCGGCCAACATGGAGCTCTGCTTTGGGTTTCTTCAGCCGCGGCCTTTCGGTGCAAGTTCCAGACAGTGGTGAGGCGTTTGGTCCTATGAACCTACCCTGTTTGGGGGCTGCTTAAAGGAAACAGTCGCAATGACTTAATAAGCGTCTGGAGTAAGATCTAGAGGGGTCCTAGCTGTGACACCGGCTGTTGTTCCGTGATTGTATACACCTGATTGTAGGGGTGTGACTGAGTTTTGTAAGTTGACTTGGAAAGTCCTCCTCAAAGGGAAACCTACACCAAGCCGATTGAAATCAGTGGTTGAAACCTCGGTCATCAGGCCAGGTTCCAACTTTGCAAGCGATGTTGGAGCGCAGAACATGGTGATGGGGAAGCTGGTCTGAGGAGCCACGTTGCCACCGGGCGTTATGTTTCATATCGTTGAAGTAGCGGAATCCAACATGATGATACGCATGTTTGTGCTTTCGATCGCTTGGTGGGGTCATAGGTGAGAGTGCAATCCGATGAGCGGAACTGAAAGGTAGACGCCGCCGATGATTGCAACGGGGAGACAATGGTGGTTGCCACATTTCACGGCTTTGGCAACAATTTGGTAGTCTATGCGAACCCAATCCACGAAGAATATGAATACTGTCGGTAGGCCAAATATGCGGCAGCTACGGTGGCATCCAGGAAACAAACATTTGGCAACCTTGATTTGGAATCTATGCTGCTGATCACACAATGGTTTGCCCAAATTGACAAGATGTGAGATGCGTGTTCCGCGATTGACATTAAGTAATATTCATGGTAACTGAGTCCAAATTCATGTTTTTTGGGTCTCATAACGGGAGGGTTTCTCCCTGCCCTGCCCACCCCCCTCTTCAGCAGCAACAGCTGCTGCTGCTGCTGCTGCTCGCCACCGCCACCACTGTGGCTGCTGGCTGCCTGCGCCAAAGGACCGGGGGGCAGGGACAGAGCTAGGCTTGATTGCATTGTCAGCACCTAAGTCTCGGCATTTTTCCCCCGCTGTTCCCCCAGCAGTGATGCGTTGTCAAATCAACTGACGGCCAGCCTTTGCTGACATGAAATTGGCCCGGGTCTCAGACTCCATCCAGGCCTTGTTGGCCAACAAGACCCTTTCCTGTCCCACCTCCACTCCGGTAAACTTGTCCACAAATTCGCGAATGAAGGAGGCCTTCTCAGTTCGCAGGTCCCGCTTGCCCCGCTTCTGCACGCCCTCCTTCTTCTGGTTCGCCTTCGTGGCACGCTTCGCGCGCTTGTTCTTGCCCTTCGCCTTGTCATCAGAGCTCGTTGCCTTTGTGCTGGTAGGATTCCTTGGGACGCCCTTCTGAAGCCATTTTTCATGCCACCTCTCGCACGCCTTGCGGTGAACGCGCCTCTTCTCTGACGGGGTCCTTCTCTTGCGTCCGCTTCCATCACCACCGCTGCACTCTGGCGTGGCCTCTGCAGGTGTCTTGCCCGTAGGAGCCGCTTGAAGCTCCTCATTCTTCTGGTCCTTCTTGGCCTCCAAAGCCTTGACAGGCATCTCGCCTGTAGCGTGAAGCTCCTCGCTCTTCTTCACACGCTCTGCCCGCTTGGTCTTCGCCGCCACTGGAGGCTCCTTGCTGTCCTTCTTTGCGACGCACTTTGCCCGCTTGTTCTTGACCTCCTTCTTGTCCTCCACAGGTGTCTCACCTGCAGTAGCTGCTTGAAGCTCCTCCTGCTCGCCCTTCCGCTGGTTCGCCTGTGCGGCGCCCCCTGCCCGCTCGTTCTTGGCCTCCACAGGCGTCTCAGCAGTAGTAGCCGCTTGAGGCTCCTCGCTCTTCTCCTGGTTCGCCTTCGTGGCACACTCTGCCCGCTCATCCTTGGCCTCCGCTGAGGCCTCAACAGGCGTAGCTGCTTGAAGCTCCTCGCTCGGAACCTTCGGCGGCTCCGCGCAGCCCTGCACAGGTTCTGAGTCATCGTCTTCCACCTCCATGCTGCCAGTGCCCGCGCTTGTTGATCCTGTATCCCCTGGTTCCTCCGACTCATCTGCAGAAAAGCAGCCCAACCGCAGTGTTGCTTCTGAATCAGTCCGGCGCATTTTGGTTGGCGGGGTGAGGTAAACGGCCGGCTGTGCAACTGGAGGCTGAGGCAGTTGAGGTGGTTGAAGAGGCCGAGGCTGTCCAGGCTTTGACTTTGCCGCGGATCTGACGAGAAGTGGCTCAAGTCTTCGAAGGGCAGGCAGCCTGATTCATTGATTGGGTTTTTTGAAGTAAGGTTAGACAGGGGTATTTTGATAAACCAGTCAAGAACCATTGCCCGAAGGGGGAATTTGACAACATCCAAGGCCTGGCATTTTCTTCCACAGGTTTTGCCATAAAACTCGGGCGCCACCAAGTTGGGGAAGAAGCCACTGTAGGCAAAGCTGGTGCGATGCTATGAAAACCACTTTGTGGCGGAGGGGCTGGGGTGAAGTCAACACGCTCCTGCGAATCCTCCTCAATCCACACCACCCCACTTGTCACAGCCATTTCTGGGCAACTAGTCGGGATCTGTTGGGCCCCTAAATGCTTTCATTGAGCCAATTCAATCCAGACATGCTTCAAATTGCATTCAAGCATGGCCAACTCTGTTGCGGCCCCGCAGGATTTTGCTTCTCTTCTGGAGGCTCGGCTCGGCCCGTGCGATCTTTGGCAGTCAAAAGACAGCACCCCCTGGCAGTGAACAAGCTTTTAGTTCCCAGGGTTTAAAAGCAAACATTGTTTGATAGTTAAACTGTTTCAAACTTGTTTGGCATTGTCGAGCACAACCCTGGGCTAGCAACCACTGCACACCCGGCTGTCTTGCCAAAGCAACGCAAGCACAATGCCAAGCATGTGGTACTTGGCGCAGCACCCTGCCTAAATCCAACAAATAGATGGCATTGCCGATTTGCGAGTAAGAATACCGGACTCCCCAAAAGTGCCCCAAACCTTGTGCAGGGTGCCAGGCCTTGCTTTCATCTACAAAATTCGCTTACACTGCGAATCGGCCAGGGCAAGCTTTGCCATCAAAAACAGGAGAGGTTTCGCAGCTCCAACGATCTTCTCTGTCTGGTAGACGCGTAAGCGCCATACCTGGCGAAAGCGTGAGTGACTTCCAGAGGTTGGTGTTTTGATCAATCAGCATTTTGAAGCTTAAGCTTTGTCTTTTGCGACTCAACAACTGGCACTGGCCTCCTGGATGCATGGAGAGTCATGGATCTGCTTCGCGTCAAAGTAGGACCCAGCACTGCGCTGCTTCACGTTCTTTAGCTGGATAGCAGATGGCTTCCAAAGCATGTTGGTGCCCTCTTTCAAGGCAACCTCAAACCTTCAGGGGTCAGGGCCCTCAAGATGTTCCATCCCCAAGCTGGTGAAAATCAAGCCGGACCATATTTCAAACTTGATGCTCTACGACCCACTCTCCCCCTCGAACCTAACATTGACTCAATATTAGCTGGGAACCCTTTTCTTTGACCCCCCCTTTTTCTTTGCTCTTCAAATTGAAGGATTGGTTTGACCCCGGCCTGTCTCCCTCCTCTCCTTGACACACCGCAGCAGGTCGCTGAACCGTGTGTCCAGCGAGCTCAAACTCAACAAGCCCAGCGCGCTCTACCTCTTGCAGGACTGAGCGGAGTGTGGAGAGCTCCCCGTCATGGCCGGATGAGTCTTCCATTACAACCAACTCCCTGTCAGACTCCAGGTGGAAGGTGTACCCTTTGGTTGGGTTCTCCTGAAACGAACCCGGAAACAAGCGCCCGCAAACTTGACCTCGAATGGTTTCCATTCAGCAGCATTCAAAACAACAGGGATTTTTCTTTGGTTGAGACACACACGCAATCACGCAAAGTGTCCTGGGTGTAGGCAGTGGCCTTGGCATCAAGGAGCCAAGTGCCCGCCCCAAAGCACAGCAAAGGTGCGTCAGCGTGCACTGTGGCATCCCCAGTTGCAACCAGGAAAAGCTTGGGCCCCTCTACGATGGATGCCATCAGAGTGTTGTCGATCATGAACGTGTGCGCGGGCGTCCCGTACTTGCTCTCAAGCGCCTCCCTGCTCTCGGGCTCTCCTGCGAAAACTGCCGACCAATCGAAGTCAACCCCGGAAACCGTGCCCTCGGAGCTCTCTTCAGGCTGGACATTATCTGGCTCAGCAACCTTGGGCAAGCTTGCCGGCTTGCCACGAGCAAGCGTTGCATCTGCCCACCGCCGGTCGAAGGCCTGCAGCAGTTGCCGCCATTCCGGAGAGCGCACCGGGTCCGAGAGGTAGGTGCTTCGAACCTCTTGTGGGATTGCCAAGAGGTTGTCCTGGACCTTGCAAACATGGAGCGTTGGGATCTCGGCGATGACCGGCGCGTCATCGGCCGCTTCGCTTTTGAACTTCGGCGTGCATTTACCAATTTGGTTGACCCCGTTCTTCCAATCCTGTCAGATTGCAAGCTGGACGGGATTCTAGGTTTTGCACAAACATTAAATCAAACAAGAAAAGCAAAGTCTTGACAGTCAGCGACTAGCTCTGCGCCTGTCCTGCAGTAGGGTCTCAGACACTGTCATGACGCAGTAGCTGTGGCTGGCTTGGTTGTCCGTCAGGCTCAGGATTGGGATGCCAAGCTTCAAGCAAGATCGCTCCAGTGACCCGCAGTAGGTCGTGGTGTGAATCACGACGGTCTGCTTCATCTTGTTGCCTGCGCGGCGTGCTGTGTTTGGGCGGTTTATGTGGAATGAAAATGAGCTGAACCGTTTGACTAGCCCCCACAAAACTTACGGAGTTGGTCGGTCCACTTGAGCCAAGCTTCCCAGCAAGCTCTGTAGCAACTTGGTCATCAGGTCTGTCCCTGCCAGCCACTGGCTAGTTTCCTGAAAGTCCGTCAAGTTCTTTCGAGTTTCGTGACACTGCAAATGTGCCCGCACACTTGGCACTTGGAACTCGCTTTCTGGAAGTGCCGCAGGGGCTGGCCCAGGGCTCAAAGCCTGAAGCCTCCACAAGTCTGAGGTGGTGAGCGGGTTGATCTGGGTTGGCTGTGGGGCCTCTTCATGACGATTGCACCGATATCCGGTGCCTTTGGCAGGGAGGGCGCAGTCTGCGACGCCCAACCATGCACGGAAGGTGGATGGGCGGTCACAGTTCCGGTGCAAGTTGCTTGAGTCCAGGGAGACAGCAAGGTCGCGTAGCTCCAGCCTGCGCTGCAGCATCTTGTCCTCCACAGACCTGCGAAGGGGCAGCATCAAGTTACTACTGCCCGGGGTGTTCTTGGCAAGTGCCGAAACTAAGCACCCAGTTGCGCCTGCAATCCTTCCTCAACGATCCGCCAGAGGCAGCTCCAACCAGAAGCGGCGGGAAGATGAGGGCGGCTGAGCCTTCCACATGCAGGATAGTTGCCAAGCTTTGGGCTACGACATGAAACAAACAAAAACGACTATATGGGTTCACAGTAGCGATGCTGGTTGCGGTCAATCACCTTGGCAATCAACTGGGCGTGCTTGTTCAGAGTTGCCGTGTTTAGCGTCCCGAGCTTGCTGAAATCAGTGAACACCACCACGATGAGATCGTCCTGCTTGACCTGACCCAAGTTTAGCGTGGAGTTGCGACTAACTTGGGGCCGGCTTGGTTTGGCTTGGAAGTGCAGCTTGTGCGCTTGGTGTGAAACGATGAGTAGCTTGGGATTGGCTCGGGTTGAGTGCGGAGTCGGATGTTGTTTGAGATTGCCGGAGTTGCAACCAACTTGGGATTGGCTTGAGTTTGGCGTGCAGTTGTGAACAGCTTGGGATTGGACTGAGCTTGGCGTGCAGTTGTGAACAACTTGGGATTGGATTGAGTTTGGAGCGGAGTTGTGAACAACTTGAGGTTGGAGTGAGTTTGGAGCGCAGTTGTGAATAACTTGGGATTGGGTTGAGTTGGGCGTGGAACTGTGAGCAACTTGGGATTGGCTTGAGTTTCGCGTGGAGCTGTGAATGAGCAGGGATTGGCGGGTTTGGCGTCAAGTTGAGATTGAGTTTCGTGTGGAGCTAGGGGTTGGCTTGAGAGTGGATTTGCAACCTACCTTGGGTGTTCTATGGAGGTGGCCTGAAGCGAGCTTTTTTGGAGCAAAAAAGGTCGATTCAGGCCACCTCGCAAAACTGCCCGGTGTGGCAAACGATGACGGGCCTTCAACTCTCCTGCGGCTGCTCGCAGCCAGGTGTCCATCGATGGGACGCTGGTCATGTCCGGCACCAGCTGGATGCTGCACCACTTCTCCATGTAGCGCTCCACAATCCTCACCAACACACGTCATTGATAGCTTGAGATGGGACGAAGTAGCAAAGTCAAGTACAAGTAAAAAAGTGAACTCAAGAGAAATATGACAAGGCTCGTTTTGCCGATGCTGTTCTGAGCTTTTGCGTGCTGCACGGACACGATGTGCTCTCGAGCGTTTTTCTGCTGGAGCTTGCCCTTGTAGCGCACCCACGCCACCTCATCCAACCTCAGAGCGCGGTAAGCACCCAAATCTGGCATGAAGCCCTGCCTGACCTGCCCAAATATAAAAGTCCAGCAGCGAGATTTTGGTACGGATCTCCTGATACTGGGCGCTCGCCGTTGCCTCCTCCATGGCTTCCATGTCAACGACAGAGAGCTTCTCGTCGGGCACAAGCTCTGTGTCCACCAGCTCCACCCAAAGCGAGAGGTGCTTGACGTTCCAATTTGCCAGGCCAACGTCCACGCACGACAGGACCTCTGCGAAGTAGTCCCTGGCCAAGCGATTGGAAGTCCGGTCAGCATGACAGTCTGTCTTTTGACTTTAATCAACAAGGAATGAAGCGCTTGTTAGATGCTGTTGAGTTGCCTGGACATGAAAGCGTCCAGGATGCCCTGCTGCGCTTTCTGGCCGGCCGCCTCGTTCTGCGCGTGGAACTCCGCAGCGACTTTGGCGGTCCCAAGCATCACGCAGGTGTAGTCCATAAGGCGCTCGAACTCCTGCACAGTAGGTCTCAGCTTGGGCCGCGCGGACTGCTTGACACGGCGAGCCTGGCGGTTGAACCAGGCAATGTGGTTTCGGAGAAAGTGTTCTTGGCAGTCAGCGTCTACTGTCAACAAGGTCTTGATGTACGTGTTGGCCTGGGCAGCCGGAGAGGCTGCCAGGAGCCACCGCGTGCTTCGCAAAAGATCGCTCGTGAAGCAGCTTTGGCTCCACTTGTTGTAGTGGAGGTGGCCGCTGATGAGCTTCCGGGCATCTGCGGTTGTCCCGACCAGCAAGTTGTGAATGGCCTTGACGCGGTCCTCATCCACCATCCACTTGGAGAGCATGCCGTCGGAGTGGTTGAACTCTGAAATGATGCTGCGCAGTCGTTTCTCGGTGTTGAAATCTGGAGGGTGGGACCCGTCCTTGGCCTTCACATCCATGACGTGGCTGAACTGTAGGGCCAGTGTCAGTACGCTGGGAGCCTGCCTTTCAGCGCCACGAAAACTTAGGGACAGGTTCATGTAGGCGCGCTCTGTGTCGGACTGGTTGAGCATGAGATGCATGGGGAGAAGCCAGGCCTTGTCCAGGAAGGCTTGGAAGGGAATGAGCGTGGCCCACTGCTCCTCCACATCGGTGTCCACTTCCGAGCACATCATCAAGACAAAAGCTATGACTGATGCCTTGGTGTAACCTTTGATCACGTCCACTGAGTAGTTGGTCAGCTTGGTCTCTCCTTGGATTGGCCCCGCGGAATTAGTTTGGAGGGGTTCACGTGATTGAGCAAAGGTGCGGGCACCATTGAAGGAGACCTGAGCCAGTGATGTTGTGGGGCCTCTGAGGCTGTGTCAATGAACAAAGAGCAATGTGTAGGAAGGTCAGGCAAGACTTATGTAGGCGCTGGGCATTCACAGACAGAGGCTCTCGGGCCAGATCGATTCCTCCCACAAGCATCGACTCCAGACACGTTAGCCAATCCCGGACGCATGGCATCCCATCAGCTGGCATATCCAGCCTTGGGAGGCAATGATTGGCAACACGCAGTTGGTTCAAGAATCCAAGGAAGGGACTTGAGGGCAGCTACTGGCAGCTTCAAGGTGTCCTTTTCCATGGCAGTGTCCACAACCTGCAGTGGCTGAAAGATCTAACAACCAGTCATTTCCCGCGCTGCTCTAAGAAACTAAATCTCAAGTTTATTTGTTCGGTTTAACTCAAACATAGCTAGCTTCGCAATCGAATGAGCCCCCAGCAAAGCTTCCTGCCGGCTTGAAAAGGCTGTGGTGAAGCCCTCGCTTTTGAGCGTAGCCGGCGTACCACCCTTCGAGCGAAGTGAGGTTCACCTGCCTGTTGTCAGGATTGGCAACAGCTAGCACTGAAGGGACCACATCCGCAGGGTGGGCAATGTCCAAAGAGCCATCCTCCTCATCGTACCCCGCCATGTACTGCTGTAGCTCCTTAATCCAAACGAGGGGAGGGCGTGAAGCCCCACGATATCGACTCAAGCTAGGGCAAGCTAGGAGGTTCAAGGATCTCTTGAATGTTCAAAATGCATGCTTTCTTGGCACCCCGCCTAGTTATTGACAAATGGTTGTGTGTGTAGTAGTTGTCCCCTTTTGTTGGCCCCCTTTTCAATCAGTCCTCCCAGAAACCCGTGAAGGTTTATAAAGCACCACACCTATTTGCCAATGAACTTTCTCAAGATTCACCTTGGCCACCCCTTAACTGTCTCTCAGGGACACCAAGCTTTTTCAGACAAACGGGAAGCTAGTTGTCCAAAAATTCCCTTTTTGAAGGACAGGGAAGTCTAATCCCCGGTCTCCTCAACCAATCAAATATTTGAACGGCCCTCAAAAAGCTATCGGGTTGAAAGTTGAAACGTGCTGCGCCCTCCTGCCCGGCTGAAATTGTTCTGCAATCAGGTCAAGGTTCCCTGAGCAAGGACACATCACCATCTTGTTTTTTCACAAACCGCTCAAAGGCGGTGCATTGCTTCTTCGCGCTGGCCCCCTTGCTCTCTGACTTGTCACTCTTGGTCGGGCTCGGCTCGTTCTTTGTGGCCGCAGGAGCCATCTGCCTGGCCTTGCCAAGCAAGGCGTTGGCACCTGGGCGTGGGCTGCGGTCAAACAGGTGAAGCCCCCGCAACTCAGAATTTCAGCTGGGATTCGGTTCATGTTGCTCGGCGGATCCCTGGAAACAACCCCCACCTTGATCAAAATTGGCTCCGGATCAGTCGGGTTTCAAGAGACCCCTAAAAAGTACATTGATTTTGATCTTGGATCTCAACTAAAAAATCAATGGACTATTCCTCAAATAGTACATCGACCCTCCTTGGCAGATAGGTGCAGACATTGATTTCAAAATGCAAGTACCCCTGACGAAAAAATGAGGTCAGCTTGACACCCTGGGGTTTCAATGGACTATTTCTCCCGGAGTCCAGCGACCTTGCACACCCCCCAGAAAAGAAATTTCAATGCACTAAATAGGGTTGAGGCGATCGGGCACTGACCCCCCAGATCAATGGACTTTTCGAGAAATGGTACACCGAGTTTGGGCAAATGGACAAAGTTTGAAAATGAGGTACACCGACTTTCAAGGGTCAAGCCGCCACAGTACACCGACTTTGGGGGACGGGTTGGTGGGGTACACCGATGTTGCGCCAGTTGAGCCATGCGGTCCACCGACTTTTAACTGACTTGCCCAGGGGTCCATTTTTAGAAGAGTCACTTGAAGCCACCCGCAGACCAGAAAAAATATAGGGTCGCACACCCAAAGGCGCCGGCTGCCTGGCCTGCCAGCGCCACGCGGTGACGGCCTTGGCGCAGGCAACGTGATGGGGCGGCCACTTGTGCGGCTATGAACAGGCCAAGCAAACGCTCCATTTCTCAATGTTCCAGTCTTGCGAGCATCAACGGCCAAGGTAATTGTCAACCTCTTGAACCAAGTGGGTAACTGCTTGAGCAAGCTTACCCTGAATTAAAGTGACCTTGTCCTTTGCACCGTGGAGCTGGTTTTGCCCGTCAGAAGCAATCACAGACCACACGCTGCCAGTCTCATCATCATCGCTGTTTGTGTTCGCCTCTGGAGTCCATGCAAAGTTTGCTGCAGTCCCACATGATTCGCGTGGCTGGGAGCTGCTCGTGGCACGGGTTGCAACGAAAGACGGGCTGTCAGCTATTTTGCATTGGGCTGCCCAGTGTTCCCGCAACTGCAACATGAGGGCACCCTTTGTGCCAGTGACACGGAGTCCATGGTCTCGGTTGATCTGCTGCAACTCTGCCTTGTTCTTGGTGGACAGGCCCTGGCTCGGGTCGCATGGGTGCTTTTGCCCACGGACATGTTGCTTGAAGACTTCCTTGAGCTCCTCTTTGGTCAAAGACTTGAGCTGCTCATGGGGGATGACTTTCGCCAAAGCCGCTAGAATCTCACCTTTTGTGTTTGGGATGACAGGCGCACTAGCACGATGCCATTGGAAGGGTGGGCTGGTGGCCCAGCACACAGAACACATCATATCCATGGCCGCGGCCGGCTTTGGTTCTTGGGGCACAAGCAGCTAGCGTAACACGCAACTCAGGCCCGACGCAATGAGAACCGTGACGCTAAACACTGAATTGCTTGTAGGCTTTGAGGGCCCTGCAAAGTTTACTAGGGGCGGTTTGGTTTAGTTACAAGATTCTGACACAGTCGCAAGCCGTTCTGTTTTCCCTACACATCACGAGCGCCTCCAAACATAGCCCTTAAAGGCATGCCTGGGGCAAGTGCGGCCACAACTGCTGGGTGCAGTGTGTACTGCGGGTCCATGGCCCCTAACTGCTGGCCTGGCAAGCTGTGCCACACCAAGTTCGGAAGCCGTGCGTTCAAATAGAACTCGTTCCGGGCCAAAGCCCGCAAGTACTGCACACTCTCCTCATATCCACCACCGTAGGTCTTGCCCACAGTGTTAGCCAAGCCATTGCACTGGTCTCGAAAACTCTCAGAGAAGTTGTTTGGATTCCTTAGGGCAAACTTGCCAAATTGGTCGCCAGCCCAACTTGGGCGGAACAACTCAAACCCCACTCAATCAAGTTTGCCAGCCCTTCCCCCAAAGCTGTGACAATTCGAATCAGGGGCTTTTCGCGCGGCACCAGGCCCACCTGCGCAGCTCGCCCAGCAGTCAGGACGAGGAGTGGCCGCTGGGACAGGTGTCGGTCACCAATGTGCTGCTTGATGATCATCACAACATCATCCGGGTGTGTTGGGGCGCGGCTGCTCCCGCTGTCGATGTTTCGATGTAGCCGGTCTGGAAGGTCTGCACAGGGCGGCCGAACAAGCCAAGGTTTTTAGAGACATTTTATTAAGCAAGCGCTTGTTGTTTCCGGAAGCCCCCTTGAATGGAGATTCTCTGCAACTGCAACAAGTGAACTTGCTTGCGTGTGTTCTGCTGCGCTGTTTCCACAAAACGCAGGGCGTGTTGAAGTGGTTTGTTTCCAAGGGACCCCAAGAGCTCATTTGAAGATGACACTTTTGGAGATAGCCGTGCGGTCACCTAGAAACATGCCTCGTCGGGACATGCTAATGAAGACGTGGTTGGCATACGCGTCCTCCAGCAAGCCTCCTTGCAAAGCTATGCGCTGGGTCGGCTGAAAATGGTTCCTCCAGGCATGGGCAGCGTCCAGTTTAGAAACTCGAATCTCAGTGTTCAAGCCGATCCAAGACCGAAGGGCGTTCCTTTGGAGCTCCTTCCTGAGAATATCACGTACTGACTCAGGTGACAGCAATTGATCGCAAGCTGCTATTCTGCGGGCTAGTATTCCCCATAGCTGATCTATTTGGTCGTGGCTGTGTGATTTTCTCAAGCACATGAGGCCAGCAAGGCGCATTTTTCGTTTCGATACGAGGTTGTTGAGGTACGATAATAGAAACTGATTCTTGCACTCACGCACGGTATTATCTGAGAATAATAACAACGTGGATGGCATTGGCAAGTGTTTCTCTTGGCAGATTTGGTGCACCCTCTCCAAGCAAATGCTGACGATCTCCACGATTGTCGACGAGTCATGTCTTGTGGGTTCGTCCATGATGTGTAAATCCAACACCCATCCATATGCCCAACATCCATGCAACTTCAAGGATGGTCGCACGTGCTTCGCCATGCTCGCGCTCGCCCGCAAGGCGGGCGCAGATGGAAGCATGAATTTGCTTTGGTCCATACCATCCAGGACGCAAACTAATGTGTCCGAGCTCGGGTCCCTTGACAGTTCCTGTAGGCCCCAAGCGATGGACCTATCCACATATTGTGAGTGCAAATGCTCGCGGTAGGCCTTCACGGCGGCCAATTTGGAAGCAATTGGCTCTCCCTTTCTGTTAATCTGTTGGGACAATTGGAAACAGACCTCGCATCTTGCAAACCTGGGTTGCCAGCGCTTTGGTCACCAAAAACAAGTTGAAAGAGCAGGGCCAAGAGACCAAGGAAAAGTCCGGCTTTTCTAGATCAGGGGCAGTGACTTGTCGCGAAATTTCAGGATATCCTTCCAACGCTGGTTGAAAACTCTCAAGAAGGTCGAATACCTGGCGCAGGAAAGTTCACAGTTCATAACCGGGAGGTTTCATTCAAAGGTGTGCTTGCAATGGTTTCAATGGCCGGAAATGGCTAAGACCCACACGAAACAAGCTTGGCGCCAATGAGCTGGCGTGTGGCAGCATAGTGCTGGTACAGTTCTTGAACATTTCCCGGGGGTAGGAATTTTGCGACCTTCTTTTCCTCATTCCCTTGGATCAGCTGCAGTGCCATGCTGCACCCTGGTCGATCGAGCCAACTGATAAGTTCCTCATCCTCTACGTCAGAGGCTAGGTCAAAGTCAGGGTCATCTCCCTTGGCCGCCCGGCCGCGCCGTATGAACCTTCAAGGTTTGATACAAGAGTCCCACCACTCAAAGCTCATGCATTCCGCTTAAGGGTTTCCCACCTATGTTTCCAGCTACGCCCAAACGTCATTTTGTAAAACAACAGAAACATAG